TGATCGCACGTGGGTAGGGTCATTATCGTAAAAACTGAGATCCCTAGTTTTCATGGCTACCTGGATAGTAATCTTCCTTGCTAAAACTTTCACGGGGTCGCACTTGCTACCTAGGCCCCGATGACGGCTGAAATTAGATTTGCTGGAGCACAGCTGGACATGAAACATCCCCCTAAATTTTCAGTTTCCTAGCTTTTGGGGTTTCTGCGTTTAAAGTTGCGAACAAAATGCACTCGGATACACTTACAGGTACACACACACACAACACGTACATACATACAAACATACACACAGTTAGGCCCGTGACAGTATGCGTTTTGCGCAGGTGTTACGCAACAAAAATCAAAAAAAGAGGCTTTTTTCGATGTTGCCTTAATTAAGAAACGTGAATTATAATGAAGGTGCAGTGCTTTTCTCTCGAATTCCACCACGCACCCTACCATTTTCTGTGATCATTTTACTGGACAGTAATTTTGAGGATGCTGGATAAGTAATGGAACTAAAAAGGCATTTAAATTTTAGTTAAAATTTAAATTTTAAACATTAACCGATAATGTATGCTGTCTTCTCCTTAGTCTGAATGGGGAATTGCGAGAGGAGGAAAAGTTTTCGTCCGTTATCAAAATACTGAAAGAAGCCATTGAATTGCTTTCGCCAGACATGGATGTGCATCATGAACTTACAAAGCAGCTAAGCGTGTCATCGATATCTTCGACTTCAGCAAGCGTAGAGGAAATCTGCTCGCTGAAGGATGAATTATCGGGGGATGAAAAGGTAACAGCAGTATTTTTTGGTGTAATTTTTGAAAAAAAAGAAGGCAGAACTAAACAAAATTGAGTTTTTATTAAGTGCCTTGATATATTTCTTGCTGTCTTTCGTGCACGGCTGTGACACGTGGAAAGAACGCGTGGAAAGATGGAATGAAGGATGCGCAGTTCTTCGCCAGCAAAGTATACAAGATCAGCCACTTCGTCAAATGAATGGCTCTCAAGGTATCATCTCTGCTGCGGGAGAAAGTAATGTCCAATAAATGAACGTGTCGCTCTTCTACTGCTATTGAATTGTTGGTGGATGTGATGCTATCACTGGGAGTTGTCTGCTAATGGCTCATTTAGTAAAGCCGATGCACACATAATTGTAGCATGCAGTTCAGGATCAAAAGGCTTGGCACAGGTGAACGCAGCATCTGGATGCATTTCATTGACACCACAATTGCTTACTGATTGTCTAAGCCACCTGCGTGATGTTCCTTTCACTAAGAGTCAAAGTAGCACTTATCTAAAAATATAATATTTTTAGGTGTATGAAGGATCGCCCAGTGCTTCGGATAACGGACATACAAATATCTCGTCTTACTGGGATGAAGTGAGCCTTTTAATGCCAATAAAACTTTTTCACACACTTGTACCTGCGCCTCCCGCCCCTTCCAGTTTTCCTTTCTTTGTTTTTATGTAAGGACAAGGTCTGCAGATTGTTGGCGTTTGCTCTGCTCTTACTTATAAAATATTCATCACAGAGCAACATTTATCTTTTCGAATTAAAAAAAAAAATTTTTTTTAGCCATCAAATCCCGCAGCAGTATCTGTTGTCCTGGAATTAAAAGAGCGTTTTGGCAAACGAATTCGGCAACTGGATAGAGAAAATACTGGCACGAAACAAGAAGACCAAGCGGTTGAAGGCGAATTTCAAAAAAGGTTGCCGACAAATGAGGAAGAGAGCTTTAGATTTGTGGAACAATCCGCGGAACAGCCTTCCTGTGCTGGACAAAGTGATAACGCTTCATTTTCGTTATCTTCAGAAAATACTGATACGATTCGTTTGCATATAAAAACGGATTTAAAAGAAGCTATTCTCTTCAGGAAGTTAGCGCCTGCTGTTTGTTTTGCAGATGAATCTTCAGGAAATTCGGATTCATTTGAAACAGACTGTTAGCACTAATTTTCGTACTCTACGATGTTTAATGCCAGTGTCTAGAGTCAAAGCTGTTTTCGTGTTTCATTCTTTTCGAAA